CATCCAACCCCCCCTATCGAATATGGCTGAATTAAATGTCTCATTCAATAAAACCTGCATTTCCCCATTATGACTTCCTGTAAAAAGCACACCCTTTTCACCTGAAATTTCTGTCTCATATACATGTACCCCTTTCTCCTTTTCAATGTTTTCATAAGAATGGGGGCAATTTTTGGCAAAGTGCAAAATTGATTCACATATGACACATTTCATAGGAAAACCATTTTCATCTACTGGATTTATCTGTCTGTTGGGGGGGAAAGAATTTCCCTGAAATCTTGGCCTCGGTAACATATTAAAATTTCTCGTATTTGAATCATAAGCTCTTCTTGAATAAGTTTGATAGTTGGGTCTGTTCATGCCAAAACTTCTCATATTAACAGCATTTGGTGGGGTTCTTGAATAACTTTGTCCTCGATTATTGGATCTAAATCTATTTTCAAGTTGAAATCTTCCTAAAAATAACTTTGGCCCTTGTTTCGTGGGTGACGGCGTAGAAATATTTGGTGAGCTGTGTCCTATATAGGGGTGGAACTTCAGGTATCACCAAAAGGTCCTTTTTATTTGCTTCCCGTGTGTTCTGGCAACATGCTGGTGAAAGGAAATCAAAATCAAAGAATAACTGCAAAAATGATGGCCTTTTAAGTATACATGCTGCTTTATGTACAGTGGTGCATCTCCGGTCCATGGGCCTTTTGTGCTAAAATTTAAAAATCTTTCTTATTAGGGGCAGGATTTGAGTTCTCCGAAAAAATTAGACAAGTTGCAAATAAACTACATAGAAAACAATCATAATTTGGAATTTTTTTCAAAAAAATAATTTTTTACTGCCATGTCATGAAAAATGTACAAAATTTACATGTAGCATCTTTCAAAATACTAATAATTTTCCACTTTTTTAAATATCCAGACTGGCAAGAAATATATTTTTAGAATCTGTGGACAATATGCAAACAGAAAAATTGCAATATTAGAGATTTATACTCAAACGTGTATCCCTACCCCCTGAACATGCCACAGATTGAATCAATCTAATCTTTGGTTGCAGAACTAACATTATCAAAGGAATCTGTCTAACAGCTATGTTTTACCATCCCTGGCTAACATATGTGCATAGAAACTAAAATAGGTGTAATGAATATGAATTATGGTTTAAAATAGGCCTTGGTGAATGAAAAAAAATGCAATATTTAGTCTATGATCACTCCTCTCTAACAAAAGGGTCACAGATTACACAGATTACACATTTTTCACAAATTTGGGAATATTTCAATGTTTCCAACATCTCAAACCTCAGAGGCATCATACAAATTTTTATTGCAATCCTAGTGCTGAAGCAAAATGTCTGGATCTTTACATCAATTTCCTGAAAAAATGAAGTCAAAAAAGTGGTTATGACAGAATTGACAACAAAAAGGAGGCCTGAAAAGGAGCAAAATGTACATTTTATTGTTCTATAAGCAACATAAATGCAACAACCACCACAAATCCTAGATTTTGATAAAAAAATATTGAACATTAAACTGACATTTACAGATCTACACCAGTTTTGTACCAGGGTGTGGTCTCATTGGCCTAACATGTCTTATGGTTCTAAGTTTGACTTTAAATAAAAAAGGTTAGAAATCCTTGAAATGTACAAAATAACCATTTCTTGGTGCAAAATAACATTCCTAGCCGCAATTCAACCACAAATTCCAATTTCTATCATTTAATTGTCAACTCAGGTGCAATTAAATCTCTCAAAACACATTAATAAAAAAGGGTGGGGTGGGGCATTTATAGCCTCTCTAAACAGAATGATGGCCTAAAAAATGTCTAGAAAGACTGGGATATTGCTTCCTACATGAAGCAAATGCAAGAATTTAATGTTTCTGAGAAGAAAAAAATGCTTATTCTGGGTAAAATAGTGGCAAAATTGAGCCAACCCCTGTTTTGAACATTTTGTACAAACCCATCTGCTGTACATTATTAACTGAGTGTCACTAAATTTCAATTTTCTGTAGGAAAGCTGGAGCTATATGTAAACCTGACAAATTTATAGATCCCATCTAAGTTATATTAGCAATGAAAATAAGGGCATTTTTAGACATTTTGACTCATTTGAGTAGTCATGAAAGCATTAATTTCTACCTCGAAATGGGAGAATCTGGAGATTTTCTGTGAATATTCCTGATTTTTAGACAAAATTAGGTGAAATTACAATACTGTTCACTTTGTCTGTGCTCTCTTAGGCTGAATAAGCCAAAATTGGACATTAAAATATTTTTCTTACTGTTAGAAATTAAATAAAAACTGAAAATTGAGAAATTTGCAGTAAAATCACAATTTTTCGCCAAAATCGATAATTTTTTTTAAGATTTAACATTTTTTTTAGTTTTTCTGTACTCAAAATATTTTATACATATTTTCTGATAATTTAGTCTTCATATTTTCAAAATTAAGGCATGTCAGTCACAGCCTTGTTATACACAGACAGGCCACAGATCACTAATTATTTCCCCATTGACTTTAATGTTAATTCTCGTCTCTTAGACTGGCTCTAACTTTTTCCCAAATTTTCGTTGGGTAGAACGCTTTCTGCCACAGATGGAGCAACATGTGGCAAACTCTTGCCCAAAAGCATGTATGAGGTTCACCATGAAAAACTTGAGATACACAAGTTGGAAGTAGAGACAAGTAAACATGCAATTTCCGGCCCTACATTTCAACGTAACCAACCTCACAACTCTTGTATCCTTCCACCTTAAAATCATGAATATTCACCAAAACCTGACAGAAAATGTATTTTCAAACCCTTTTTTTCGATTCTACACCAAAAAGTGAACAAAAATCGCCATGCAAAAGTGGGAAAAAGGGAAAGGGAGAGAGAGACTAAAAATAACTTTGGCCCTTGTTTCGTGGTGAGCTGTGTCCATACTGGAGTAATAAGCCAGACAGAGTTATGTCCCATGAATTACTTCACAGGTACAATGTACATGTATGTTAACACTTTAAGCAGATTTTCGTTCTCTTTTGCAACAATCAGTGTTCTTAATAAGGAACTATCGTTTAATTTTTCAAAACTGCTCCACTCTACCAATCTGATTAAAACACAGATCCTATTTCGTTTTGTTTTTTATAGTGCAAAATTTTGTTTTACTTCTCTCTACACCAGAATCTTGAATAGTTGCTATATAACCTGCATTCTGATTGTTGTGAGGGATTAGCCAATGAAGCGGTCTGTTATGGCGATTTCTTGGCGTGCTGTTTACGGAACTGTGGGTGAATCACTTGAAGCATCAACGCTGATTGATTAATCAATGTCTGACGTCATAGGGTCTTTGTGAACACTGACGCAACCTTGCAATATAACTGGTCAGATATTCATGTAGTAGAGGCCATCGAAAGTATTAAAAAAAAAAACGAAATATAGATCTGTATATTAATCAGATTGTCACTCTGCTGGAGGTGTCTATCCTTTTAGCTCTGTCAATACATTTACAGAGTAGGTGATTCAACATGTTTAATCACGAAATGAAATGGGGTTTAATGTCCTACTGTTCTGCTCCTAAACTGGGCTAATGAAGATGGGCATACGCCATACATTGTGCTATAAGGGAAATTTTGCCTACGGCCTACTCTTATATTTAATTCCAACTGTCAAGGGGTCTTTTAGGTGCATGCCAATATGTACATGGGACCTCGGTTTTTCGTTCCATCCGAACGACTAGACAGCTGTCCTTGTCATGCCCTTCGTCGGAAAATCTGGATGAACTTTCTCGGCCAATGCAGGGATCGAACACCCGACCTCCAGGCTAGCGAGCCAGCGTCTTACCCACTTAGCTACGTGATCCCCATGTTTAATCACATCTGTTTGCTAACTTGAATGTCATCTAAAACAATAGGTCATACGAAAACAGAATTCTGGTTATTATTATGATAAAGATGGCAGTGTGAGATTAATATATACCAATGTAAACTTTAAATGACCATACCATAAGATTTATTATGGAAGATTTGAATAACAATAGGCCATATAAAAACAAAATTCAGATTCTCAGATACCTCTGTGTCAATTAAAAATGTCTGCATTTGAAAAAATTAAAACATCCTAATTGGGCGTTCTGGAATTGAATTCTCTTAATCTCACAAATGGTGAAGAGGGGGATTTGGTGTAACAACAATGTGCCAGCTACATATTCGTTGTGTTTAATTACGCCAAGATTCTACGCACACCACCTCCGTAGTCGATACTGACAGAATTCTGTATCACTCAATTGCAATTCTGTCAATTCCGGATGTTCCTTGGAGCCACGGTGACTCAGTGATTAAAACACTGGCTTGATAGTCTGATGGTTGTGGTTTTGCTCCCGGTGTTGACTGAGAAATTTCGGGTGTAGTTCCCTCTTGTCAATCTTGGAGGATGGAGGGTCTAGTCGTTCAGAAGGGATGAAAAACTGAGGTCCCATGTACAAATTGACGTGGGGATCATGGTAGCTAAGTGGATAAAACGCTGGCTCACTAGCCAGGAGATGGGATGTTCGATCCCTGCATTGGCCGAGAAAGTTCATCCAGATTTTCCGGGGTGGTTCCCCCTTGTCACTGAAGCAGGATGGAGGGCCTGGCACGGATAGTTTTCTAGTCGGTCGGATGGGACGAAAACCCCAGGTTCCGTGTACACATTAGCGTACACGTAAAAGATCCCTTGACAGTTGGAATTCGATATAAGAGTAGGCCGTAGTGCCGCTCTCCGGACAAGATTTCCCCGATAGCACTCTGTATGGTGTATGCCCATCTTCATTAGCCCAGTTTGGAGCAGAACCGTAGGATGTTAAACCCATTTGTTTTCATTTCACAAATTGACGTGCATGTAAAAGATCCCTTGGCAGTTAGAATTGCTGCCCGGGCAAAATTTCCCTCAATGTATGGCGTGCGTCTGTCCTCTTTAGCCCAGTCAGAGCAGAGCAGTAGGATGTTAAACTACATCCGGTTAATTAAATGTTGTAATTTTTCTTCAGTGAATGAAGAAGCTCCTCCATTATTTGAAAATGATGAAGGTATAGATGAGAATATACCACAAGTACCAGAACCAGAAATAAGGGTATGTTTTGGGGCAGGGGTGTAAATTTCTGTCCCTTTTTTTTGCTTGATATCTGTTATGGCTGTGAACAATAAGCCAGGTCATTCACATTTATTCCCTAAGTCAAAAGTTCAACCTTGTGGGTTTTCTCCCACTCCTAAAGACCTTTACAGTTTGCTCCTTACTTCTTGTCAAACTGAAAGATTAAAATGACTGTGTCGTCAACCTCTAGTCTTCATTAGACTAAATACAGCATCAATAAAATAAGGACGCTTAAAATAGGGTTGGTCACACAACTTAAAGATTATGAATGTCTGGATATAAAAACCTACGGAGACTACTGTAGTGGTTTATAAATGCCGCGTGAAGCATATAGAATAATTTTATCAGTTATCTAAACATAATCTAATCATTTTGTGTGTGTAAATTATGCAGCGTCCGTCATTAGACTAAATACATCATCAATAAAATATAGACGCTTAAAATAGGGTTGGTCACACAACTTAAAGATTATGAATGTCTGGATATAAAAACCTACGGAGACTACTGTAGTGGTTTATAAATGCCGCGTGAAGCATATAGAATAATTTTATCAGTTATCTAAACATAATCTAATCATTTTGTGTGTGTAAATTATGCAGCGTCCGTCAATATTTGCGTTTATTTTAAAGAAATTGCGTGAAAAACGCAGATTTTTGCGTGACTGTAACCTGTGATTACTGGTATTTTAAATTTAAGATTATTAGTATGCAGGGCTGTCGGTAATTTTTCACAGATGATTAGCAGCACTGCTAATCAAAAAGTCCAATTTTGCCAAATTTGATTAGCAAATTTAAAAATTGATTAGCAGTTTTTTAGTTTCAACATAAAACACCTAAATAACAAGGTTATTTTAACTTTAATTAATAACAAATGATTAGATTTCATTCTTAAGATTTTTTTAGAATTTTAGCACTTCTACAGATAGCTGTGAACATTTCCGAATGAATGTAGACTTTTGGTTAGGCCTTATGTCTGGGCAGTGACTTCTTATTTCTTCGTTAGAAAACAATTTCGTCTGCTTTTTATCGCGTGTTATTATTTTTGTTCAATCATAAGCACGCGGTATTTTACGAATAATCTCGATTAACTAGACGCACGCGATATAAACAATAATAATTTACGGGAATTCTTACTTTGATTTCTCATTTTACAATACGTTTACACATATTTATTTTTTATATTTTATTTACAATACGTGGGGGATACACTGAATTTAATTTTTTTCAAATTGAATACTGATATAATTACTCGAAATTGACATGTCTCGCAACGTGAGTGGTACTACTTGATTCCCTATTTCCGGTTTAATAGTATGTCCCAGTATTATATAGCATTGTTATATAGTATAATGAATTGAGTCTGGGTAGATCGAGAAGAAAATGTCACACGGAGAATTCCATTTTGTTTATAAAATTTATTTGATATTTTATATACGTTGAAAGCGTTGAGAAATGTGGATAAATCTTTGTGTCAATATCCAAAATGACAGGCATGTTAATGATTCGCAGTTACTGCGAATCAAAAACGTTAGATTTTAATTTTTGATTAGCAACGGACAAAATATGTATCGCAAATTGCGCTGCGATACTGGTTGTCGGCAGCCCTGTTATTATGTAATTAAGCATATCTAGTTATAAATAGATCTTAATGACAATGGTCTGGCTTGTGATAGCACATGCACAATTATTATTATTATTATAATATCCAAGAGAGATAAAGGTGTTCAATCGGAGCTTGTACATGACAAGGAGTACGGTCGCCTTTCTAACCTGGTGAGTTTTCTCATTGACCTCCAGGTTTTCTCCCACTTCAAAATTCCCCTACATGCTAGGATGACCCGTGCACTTTACAGAAAGTTGGTCTCGACACGGCTAAATGTGCACGATTCAGTTGCGTGTCTCGAACTGATTTCTGACTACCCCGCACTCGCTTTGAGTCGATAAATAGCCATGGCACGTGCAATTCTCTACAAATATATCAACTATTACAGCCGTAAAAAATCTATTGGTGACGATTTTGAATAGCAGTAAAATTCAGCTTCTTGGTTATTACAGCAGCTTTAGTAATTACGTTTGTTTTATTTTTTAAATTGCTTTATCGTTAACTGTACCGTTAAGAGCGGCATCTTTTGGTTTAGTACAAATACTATCTCTGAATCACTTTCTTTAGCAGGAACATGATACTAGCAGTAGTTTCATTTTACTTTTACAAGTTTCTTAAAACAATTGTTGAGTTGTCTAAAGTGCTTATTTCTAAATTCAATTTCTTGTTCTAGCTTTCTGTTATGTTTCGTAAAAAAGTAGTCTTGATTATCCCGACCTGTCAATCAGACGTAGAATGGTCGATAGACTGGTTAAGCGAGACTAATTTCAAAACAAGGGCACGTAACCTATATTTTACTCAAAAGTGTCTGGATGTTATGGACGCAACTTGGAACCAGTTTTCAGTCTATTATTTATAGATGATTAATGGTCATAGCTTATTAAGTACAACATGATCGTTTATTTAGTGACTATAATTGTGTGAAACTGATTTGAGGCTTGGCATATATATAAATATTGTGGCGTAATTGTCGAGATATTTGGAGATATTTATTTATGGTGGGTCACCCTATACATGCCACTGATATATTGTAATAAAATTGTACCATGTGTTAAGACTCAAAATGACCTAGTTTGTGTAGAGAGGGCATTAAACCCATTTCTCTCTCTCTATTTTACAAAGACCGTTTCAGCCATTGTAAGTGAACCATGTTTTTTTGAGTGCACAGTGTTTGTCCTTTGCATGATTTATGTGTCAATATATTCAGAAATTTAAATATATTATAGGAGAGATTAAGAGTCAGAAAACCTATAATAGAAAAAGTTGTCACAAGAAAACCGGTAAGTTCAATTTTACAGTCCCACATTGAAATGTCATCACCCCTGTCTGTCAATTTATCTCTCCACAATTCATTTTGAACACTTTATAGATGCAAGTATTCATCAAATTTATGTTTAGTTTTTATACGCCCACATTGAAATGTGGTCGTATATTGTCGTTGCCCCTGCCCGTCCTTCCTTCCGTCCACGGTCCGGCGTCCACAATTGCTTGTGGATGCTCTAGAGGCTAAAGTTAATAGCCGATTGACTTTAAATTTATATACAGTGTTTAAAGCCATGAGACGAAGAAGCCTATTGATTTTCAGCGATTTCCGATTATTACTGCCAGAGTTATGACCCTTGATCACTTCAAAAAATCTTGTGGACGCTCTAGAGGCCAAAGTTAATATCCGATTGACTTTAAATTTATACACAGTGTTTAAGCTCATGAGACAAAGAAGCCTATTGATTTTCAGCGATTTCCGATAATTACTGCCAGAGTTATGGCCCTTGATCACTTCAAAAAATCTTGTGGACACTCTAGAGGCCAAAGTTAATATCCAATTGACTTTAAATTTATACACAGTGTTTAAGGTCATGAGACGAAAAAACCTATTCATTTTCAGCAATTTCCGATAATTACTGCCAGAGTTATGGCCCTTGATCACTTCAAAAAATCTTGTGGACGCTCTAGAGGCGAAAGTTAATATCCGATTGACAAAGTTTAAATTTATACACAGTGTTTAAGGACATGAGACGAAGAAGCCTCTTGATTTTCAGTCATTTTCGATAATTACTGCCAGAGTTATGGCCCTTGATCACTTCAAAAAACCTTGTGGATGCTTTAAAGGCTAATGTTAATGTCACGAGGCGAAGAATCCTATTGATTTTCAAAGATTTCTGATAATTACTGCCAAAGTTATGGCCCTTGATCACTTTGAAAAATCTTGTGGACGCTCTAGAGGCCAAAGTTAATATCCGATTGACTTTAAATTTATACACAGTGTTTAAGGTCATGAGACGAAGAAGGCTATTGATTTTCAGCGATTTCCGATAATTACTGCCAGAGTTATGGCCCTTGATCACTTCAAAAAATCTTGTGGACGCTCTAGAGGCCGGGGATTCGAAACCACGCCAGTCGACTCAATGACAGACTTTATGATACAGCGCGCGCACGCTAACCATCCAGCCATCCAACCCCCCATCTTGAGACGAACAAGTATATTGATTTTCAATGAATTTTTATGACTTGGAACAGCTAAAGTTTTATAAAGTTCTGCCCCATGCTAACGTTAATACTGTATCATGGGGCAGAACTTTATAAAAACCAAACAAATTCTAATGGTTTTCTGAGTTGTTGCTCTTAATCAGATTTTAGTGTATTATAAATGTTTCATTACCGAAAAAAGTAAAAATATGCGACAACTCTTGTTGACTGCCAGGACGATTTAGCTGCTGTGGGTGTATGTTTCGTTACCTGGCAACCTATCTTTTTATATGCAGCTACATCATATAAAAACTATTGTTTTTATTTGTATCATTGTTGTTATTTTTGCACGCTTTTTAGGAGAAGTACACATTCGACTCAAGACGAAAATACACCAATATTAGACACCAAAGGAAACTTTTTATACGCCCACATTTTTATGTGGACATATTATACGGTTGCCCCGTCCGTCCATTAACATTTTTATACGTCCACATTCATAATGTGGACGTATATTGCCGTCGCCCCTGTGTGTGTCTGTGTGTCGCCTACAGGCCACAATTCTTAAGTGTTCATCTTGAAACTTTACATACTTATTCCTTATACCCTAAGGATGATCCCTATTGTCTTTGGTGCATCCCCGAACCCCAGTGGCAGAGCCTCGCCCATTTTTTGTATTTGTTTGTTTGTCGTCTACAGGCCGCATTTCTTAACATATCATTTTGAAACTTTGCATACTTATTATTTATACCCTAAGGAACATTCCTATCATTTGGGGTGCATGCTCAACCCCCAGGGGCAGAGCCACGCCCATTTTCTTTTTGTGTGTCTGTGTGTCGCCTACAGGCCACAATTCTTAAGTGATCATCTTGAATCATTACATACTTATTCCTTATACCCTAAGGATGATCCCTATTGCTTTTGGTGCATGCCCGACCCCCAGTGGCCTAGCCACGCCCATTTCTTGTATTTATTTGTTTGTCATCTACAGACCGCATTTCTTAACGTATCACCTTGAAACTTTGCATACTTACTCCTTCTATCCTAAGGAACATCACTATTGTTTGTGGTGAATACCCAAGCCCCAGGGGCAGAGCCATGCCCATTTTCTTTTTGTGTGTCTGTATGTCACTTACAGCCTTCAATGCTTAATGGACCCTAAGCCTGACCTCTATTATTTTTGGTCCATGCCCGACCCCCAGGAACAGAGCCACGCCCAATGTTTATGTGCCTTTTGTGTCGCCTACAGACCGCAATTCTTAACAGATCCTTTTAAAACTTTGCATACCTATTCCTTATACCCTTGGTGATTGCCCAACCCCCAGGGGCAGAGCCACACCCATTTGTTCTTAGTGTTTCTGTGAGTTGCCTACAGGCCATGATTTTTAATGGATTGTCTTTGAACTAAGGATATGCATTCCTTAAGGACAACAACTGCATGTCCTGACCCTCAGGGGGCGAGCCACGCCCAATTTCTGTGTTTATCATTTATAAGCCGTAATTCTGAATGGATCAACTTGGTACTTGGCATATGTATTCCTTATAGCCTAAGGGCGTCAACTATTCATTCTGGTGAATGCCCCGCCCGCCAGGGGCAGAGCCAGAGCCACGCCCAATTTTTGCCTGTAGCGCCCAAAGGCCACAATTCTGAATGGATTATCTTGGAATTTGGACATTATTTGGTATACTTATTCCTTATACCCTAAGAATGGAAACTATTGAGGTTGTCATTTCAATAACAGGGTGGTACCTATTTATATTGTTCCATATCCCACCCCCAGGGGCAGAGCCACACCCATTTTTTGTATTTATCGTCTACAGGCTGCAATTCTGAATGGATCATCTTGGAACTTTTCATATTTATTCCTTATACCGTAAAAACAGCAACTATTTATTTTGATGCTTCCCCCGACCTCCTGGGGCAGTCTCACACCCATGTTTTTGTTAGTATTTTGTCTGTAAATTTGGCAAAACAAACCCAATGCCTAGCCTTCTTTGCCTCCTATCATATTACAGCCATCTCATATTTCATTCTCTTCATTTTAAAAAGTACCATATCAATCAAAGCTGGAATGTGGACGTATATTGCAGCGTTAGCAATGCTCTCGTCTTGTGTTTGTAGACACTCTATAGGTCACAATTTTGATCAGATTTTGACGAAACTTGAAACATGTTGTGAATTTGCATCTTGCTCCAATTTTTTGGTTTATGGTTATGCACAGGAATAACTATATCACAATTCATTTGTTGATTTTATGTCGAGCACTGGATACATAGGTTGCAAACATTGATCACAAATAAAGTCATTCTCTACTATCTCAACCCCAAGAGTTTACAGACGGAAACCCACAACATCATATGGCTACATTTCCCACCTGTTAGAATATGCCTGGTGGTCTATATGATTTCTTCACTGGGAACTCTGAATGATGTCTGTTTTCCAACCTCTCAGCCAAGGAGGCTGTGGTAACATCTTTCTGAGAAAACGAAATACTGTCTTCATCAGGAACTCTAAATGATGTCTAAATAAACTTAATCATGCTCGTTCTTATACAGAGGATACGTGCATGACTTACGTACTGACCCCCGGGACAGTGGACATTTACACTTCTATGGCATTTATACCCAGTGCACTAATTCATAAAAAGAATTGACAGCCACTAGATAAGAGAACACGAAAGAAAAACAGAAAAAGTCTGTGCATTACCATGTTTTTATAAGGCATAGAATGAATATAAAAAAGGGGATGTACAGACTATTTTTCTCGTGTTCTCTTATCTAATGACATACAATTACTTTATTGAATTGTCAGGTATCCTCTTACAGTCCCATATAACAACTTTTGGTCTGCGAAGGAATTATTAGTGAGCAGAAATTCGGCCGTGTATCTGTTATCACTCGTCACATCAGTCAGTTATATAGAGGGATGACTCATGTTTTCCTTTGGCATTCGTCACTTCCGATTCAGGAAACCTGTATTACTCAGCTATCGTAGCAATGATCTATGTGTTAAAATTATATTTGGAATGTGTTTGACCATCTCTATCACATATGTGATAATGACTGGCACCAATATTGTCCTTTAAGGGACCAATCATATCAGTAATTGCACAGATTCAGGGTCATGAAGAGACTAGTCTGTGCGTGAAATCATGACAGACTTTTAAGGCAGATTTCATTGGATTCCAGAGAGATTACCATCTGAGTTCCTAGAGAGCAGACAGATTCTGGAAGGGGAAAGATGTCTATCAGCAGACTCACCCATCGAGTCTGGCTGGCTAGTGTTTGAGAATGACTTTAGTATTGTAATCTATACCATGCTTGTATCCATGTATCCGGCTATGATATATAAAATGTAAAAATGAACTGTTGCATTGTTATTCCTGGAAAGACAAACGTCTTAACTAACTGAGATAGACAAGAAGAAGTAATTACACAACGTGAAGGAGGAGCAAAGACGACAGGTGAAAATACTAGATGATCACAAGGCTTGTATGCACTAAGAAAAGATGCATGGGTCATATATAGGATGTGGGGACCGAAATCACTGGCCCGCTCTCAACGTCTGACGAAAGACCCATGGTGCTACACGACTTCAATACATTAACCAGAGCATCTTTTAGAGAACTTAAATAACCTCTTACAGTACATAGGCTCTATAGTGTACTAAACAGCAAAAAAAACCAAACGTTAATACGATTTCAAAATCAGAGAGGCACTTTAATCAAATCATTCTAGAAAACGACATACTAAATGGATCAAAGCAATTTTTTGTGAACAGTATGTTGACAAATTAGTGATTAATTTGTCACCA